ATGATGAAGCAGGAGAGTTCCTGTCCCAAGGGGTCCTGGTCTAAAGGCTGCATTAAACTGTGGTTGCCGGGAGAAAAGGCACAAGACTGAAAAGGAAGCTCCAGGTAACCTCTCCATCACAAAGCTCATCCACAGCGCCGCCGTCTTCCTCCATAAATCATCCACTCACCAACCATGTCGTGTTTGGCATCCTGCTCGCTGTTTGTGGCAAAGTGATGCTTAAAAGAGCTTGTCTGGGCATTAAGACTGCAGCTGACCTCTGTGTGGGCGGGCGCAGGCATCCATCCCTGGACTGCTTGTCTTCTGGCAGAGCACTCCTGGGAACAGGTCTGGTGTTCGGCCTCTGTAAATCACACCTCCAGCTCACTTCCTCCAGCTTACATAGTGCTGAGAGTCTGACTCACCCTGGGGGTGACGCAGGGCTACCTTCCTGGGCTGCGGGGTTTTGTGGGGTTTTTTTTTTTTTTTCTCTGTGTTTCCTCACTTGTTATAAGAGGAAGGGAAAACAGTCGCCTGGTGTGGACGGTGGTGTGAAAGGAGTACAGATGACAGAAAAGAAAGGATTTGTTTACCTCACTCTTTCTCTCCTCTTAAGAACTCCCTTGCAAAGAGAGAGCAGAGAAAGACACTGTGGATAGGGTTACAGCCCGGGGAGCAAAACAGAGCAGCAGCAGCTCTGGTGGCTGCCCGGGTGAACTCTGCCAGGGAGCTAACAGCCATGGCTGACCTTGAGGTGGGAGGGCCAGAGGGGGAGGTGGCGGTGTCTCTTCTTTTCGTGGCATCAGATAAAATGTGGAATCTGAGGACTCTTACTAATGTATGCCAATGGCCTCGTTTCATGCTGAAGACACCCAAGAAAGGAAGGAAACTGCCCACTGCCATGGCACTGGCTCGCCAGTCCAGAGTCGAGCTTGCACTGGAGACTGCTGGACTGTTACATCCGAACCACGCATGTGAACTTCCCCTCCTCTACTAGTAAGACTGGTTTAGAAATAGATACTCCTGCTAAGCACCTGCTTTTAGGAAATGTCCAAGAAACGTGTGCTGCGTGAGTCAACACTGAGCACTGCTCTGACGACTTGGGTGAGCTGAAGACAAGAGGCAGGGAAGTCACGGCACGTTGAGAACTGTCCGCACCCATGGCAGCATGGAGAAGGTGGCACGGGGCACAGAACTGCATCTTCGCTCACGGGTGGAGTGGGCACACCGTAAATATTTGTTCATTCACACCGCATTAATCATTGTGCTTAGAGTTCAGGGCCCACGTCGAGCCCCACAGCACACTGCTTCAAAGGCTCGCGATCTGCTATGATGCTTTCGAGTCTCAGGCTGGCTTTTTGGGGGAGCGACTGTAAGAACAAAGGCAATGCCTCTCGGTTTATTTGAAATTTATTTCATCTTATTGAGACAAGGTTTGCTGTATGGTCAAGACTGTCCTGCAACTTTCACAGTCCCCCTGCCTCAGACTCTTGAGCACTGGGGTTATAGGCCTGTGCTACTACACTCAGACAGTTTTGATTACATGGAGATCTGAGTAACAGGCAGATTCCAACTGATTTGAGGCTTTAATCCATTTTGGGTTGCTGTAACAAAATATCACGGACTGTGTAATCTATAAATTAAGATAAAAAGATAAATAAATAAGTGCATTTCTTACAGTTCTGGAGGAGATCCAAGGCTGAGAGGCTACATCTGGTGAGGTCCTCTAGATACGCTGTAAAGTGGCAGAAGGCATCATGTGGGCAAGAGAACATACAAAGTCAAATGACAGCCTTAAGATTTTTCATGATCAGCATCAATCTGTCCATGAGGGTGAGGCCCCTGCAGGCTGACCACGCCACACTGGGCCTATCTTCTTTATTGGGGGCTAGGTTTCCCACTTGTGCTCTGGGGGACAAGACTTTCAAGCCACAGCATGAGATCTGACAGTGGTGTTATCTGTGGCCTCCCAGTGGTACTTACTGTTCATAGGCACTTCTTGGGTAAGGCAAAGGTTTATGTGAAAATCTTTGGAGAGGCTGGAGCCAGTAGTCACTTTGGGCCACTTCTATCTAAGGGTTTTGAGTGCTGAGCCTTCCGCACACACACACAAAAAGACAAAACTGAGAAATCTGGCAGGGTGTGATTTCCAGACCTACACATTCATCTTTATATTTATGTAAATCCGGAGAACTCTTTGCTGAGAGAGGAAGTATGCGTCTGATTCCATGCCAGAAGAGAAGCATCCCTGGACACTGGGATCCTACGGAAGCCCTCAGTGTGTGTGTGTGTGTGTGTGTGCACTCTACCACAAACTTGCTCCGTTCGATGCATTTAAAATCTGTCAGATGCTTTCAAGCAGAAAATACATAACTCACACAGAATCCATTAACACTTAGAGCCCCGCCATGATTCTCAGTGGAGTCAGTCTTAAACCTGCCCATTCTCCACGCAGCCCATTTCCTGGGTTTTCCACTTTCACACTCACACTGGTTGCATTCCTAGGGAACCCAAGTAAATAGCATTCTGGCCCGTAAGAGAGCCAGATATCAATCTTGAGGGTCACAACTCATGCCCCAAACCAGGTCTATATGCTAAATAGTGGTCCAGTCTCTTGCATGTGTTTGCCCTGATGTCCCCCTATGCCAATAGAAAGGATTGGAGGGTAGAGAAGGAGACACTTCCATACACTTGGGCAGCAGACAACAGAAAGCCTTTCCCAGACTGCTCATCCCTCACAACACAGATGCTGAGTTTCTCTGTGTCTTGACATCCCGGGGGTCTGAGACAGATGCCAAAGGCTTTCTGGCTGCACAAGGACCTAGGGACTGGTTCCAAGCTATTTTTCTTCTCCTGTAGAGTTTCCTGCTCCCAGGGGAGGAGGACCACGGATAGTGTGGGCAGAAATCCTGCCTGGATTTTGGCTCACAAAAATTACAGACCCACTGCAGAACCCTGAAGGGCTAAATTGCAGGAGTGCCCAAGTCTCTACTGAAGTCTATGGCACAGCAACCCTGTAGTTAATGCTGTTCTTTTTGGGATCTATTTTCAACTAGAAAAGTAATTTTTGTTTTGTTTTGTTTTGCTGGGGTTTATTTTCAGATTGCAAAGGGATAACTTGATAAGCACTAATGCATGTCCTTCGTGGTCAGTTGCTCTCCCTAAGCAAACACTGCCCAAGATAAGAATGACAAAAATAATAACAGCACCACTGTGGCCTTTCAGCGACACGGGGGAAATCGGACTTCGGCAGGGATCCATTTTCCACTTTCATGTTTTAAGCCACAGGAAATAAAGCAAGCATTGCACTTTACCCTTTAATCCGCTGCCCCCATCCAGTTCCTATTTCCTGCTACATTAAATAGCTGCCATTTACAAGCTTGTCTTGCTTTGCTAGCTCTTCGCAGCCCTGTTTTCAAACCCCTCAACTCTTCCCCAGTCCTCCACCCCGATGTCCGATCCTGCTTCTCCAAAGAGATCTCACAGAGTACTGCTGAACTTGAATAACATCCTGCACACAATAGGTGCTAAATAAATGCTCAGGTAGGTTAAACAAGTCCCCTATTTTACTCTTCTTCTAATGGAGAGTTATGGACTCAGAAACACAGAGACCACACCTAGCCTCCTCACTCTCGTGTGTTCTCGCCCATGCTTGTTACCCAAAATCCATCACTGAGAACCAGTTTTCCATGAGCATCCTTTGTAGAGTCGCCCCAAAGGAAGAGCTCTTTCTCCCCGAGTCTTGGAGAGGAAGCACTGAGAACAGCTTGCATCAGCCACACCAATTGCCTGTGCCTGTCAACACAAGGCCTGCGGGTCAGACAGAGGAGACCTTCTGATGGAGCCGCTGTGGCAGGGCCACTGTGGAAGAGGGGGGCCACTGATGTGAGGGCGGGGGCCAAGTACACTACCCAGATCCTAGATCACAGAATTAGTCATGAAATGATCTTAGCTTTGTCCTTCTCCCTTCCCCTCTTGGTAAACAGCTCTGCTTTGGGCTGTATACCCTGACCACAGCAGCCCCTAGTGGCAGCAATCTGGAACACACAAGACAGCAAAGGACCCCAGGAAACTTTACAAGGTTTGGGGTCAGCGTTTGCATATGCAAACATACAGATAGGCTCATGCCAGCATCGTGTGAAGGTGGGGGGTGTCAGGTTTTCCTTGGGGTGGGGATGTTGAGTAGGGGTAAGGAATAAAGAGAACCTTTGCAGCCTCAAAGCCATTGGTCCCCTATGCAGGAAACTGCAGCTGGGCCCTGAGTTGAGTGATACCCAGAAGAATCAGCTGCCAGAGAGAGGAGGGCGGGACACCAGGCTTCTCTCTGCCTCTGATGCTCACACAAATAGCTGCCAGCTGCCAAAGTAAAACAAACATGATAGCATCCTTGACCAAGCAGTGGAATTTTCTCTTCCCAGGGAATGACTTAAATCCTCAGAATCATCGATTGGATAACAGCTGAAGGAACTTTTCCTAGAGAAATGCTAAACGCAAAAGCTCACTGGAAACAACAGGCCAAATGAGCTTCTGGATTCTGTTCTCAGCACTGAATGGACGCTGAGCCTGACTCTCTCACAGGGAACTGGTCAGTTAGCTTCCACTGTCAACCTGACACAAACCTAGAGTCACCTAGGGAGAGGGAATTTTTTTTTTCAGTCTTTTGAGACAGGGTTTCTCTGTGTTGTTTTGGTGCCTGTCCTGGATCTCCCCTGTAGACCAGGCTGGCCTCGAACTCACAGAGATCCGCCTGACTCTGCCTTCTGAATGCTGGGATTAAAGGCGTGAGCCACCACCACCAAGCTGAGAGAAAGAGACTCTTAATGGAAGATTTGTCTATGGGCATGTCTGTGGAGCACTGTCTTAATTGGTGATGTAGGAGAGCCCAGCCCACTGTGGGTGGTACCATCCCTAGGCAGATGAGCCCAGACTGTGTATGAAAGGAAGCTGAATGGAAGCCTAGAGCAAGCCAGTAAGTGGTGGTCCCTCATGCACTCTGTTCATTACTCCCTTCACATTCCTACCTTGAGCCAGTAGAGGAGTAGTGGATCCTTTCAGTGATGTGTGATCTTGGATCTTGGTGCTTCTCAGCCATTTGAAGGATGGATGCTGGAATGAACTAGATAAACCCTCAGGGCCTAGCTTCTAGGCAAAGCACCCAATGAGTCCATGCTTTTTTTTTTTTTTTTTTTTTTTTAAAGCTGAGTCTCCACAAACCTGCTCCTTGCCTTGCTTACTAATCTGGATGTGAGACAAGACTATGCCTTCCAACTGGATTTCTGATTGCAGGGCATTTGGGTCTCCCAAGACAAAGTGGGCACATATCAGTTGTTCCCAACCCCTTGCCCTTCAGTGCACCACACCCCCTGATTTGGGGAAACTCAGTAATGTTGCCTCGACATCCAGATCCAAAGCGGTCTTCTCAGGCCTCTGGCTGTACCTGTCCCTTTCGAATTATGTGCCCTTCTGGAGTCCCTCCTCTGTTCGTGAGTCTCTCAAGTTAACGCTGTCAGTGATTCACTCTGGCATCTAGATTTTATAGCAAACTGGTGCCCACATCCGCTACCTTCATTCATCCCAGAAGCACTCAGTGAATGCCTTCCATTCACCAGGCACTAGGGGTGTGGTATCAGCTAGCACATGGGCTCTTTAGTCTGACAGTTAAAAAATTAGACAGGAAAACATCTATGTGAAAGCCAGGCTTACTGGCAAGTACTTGAGACTTCTCCGGACAGAAGAGCCCCTAGGGCTAGAGAGATCACCAGCTCTTAGGTGCCTGGGGTTTTTACCGGGTTTAGAGTCTCCTAAGTGGTGATTCCCCCTTCCTCCCTTTTGCTGTTGGTCTAATGGTGTCTGGTGCCCCTGCTGTGGCAGGCTGTGGCTTTCTGTCTCTGTAATTGTTGATTGGCTGGGCTAAGAGTAGCCACCCCAAACCCCTCTGCTCTTTGTGGTATAACCGGTAAAGAGACCCACCCTATGTGAGAAGAAATGGTCTACACTTCGGAAAAATAGAAAATCACTGCTTGGAGGAAAAGCCATTAGGAATTCCTCAAACTGAGGTTTCTGTGTCCCCTTCTCCCACCCCAGGGGCCCATGGCCCCAGGTATAGCATGAAGCTGACAGACAAGAGCCCAGCTCTTTGGAACTTAACTCCTAGCACTGAGGTCAGCAGACTTCCCTGTAAAGGCCCAGATAGTAAATATTGTAGTCTGTGCAAGCCATATGGTCACTATAACTATAGCTCTGTGGCTGTAACTCAAATAAGCCCAAAACAGTACATAAAAAAGTGGACATGGGTGTGTGTGTGTGTGTGTGTGTGTGTGTGTGTATACATAGAGGAAGCAGATTGTGGGAGGGAAAGATCTCGCCAGCTGGAAAGAAATGTACTTTTTCTGCTGTGATATCTAAGTGGACAGAATGAAGCTTGGGGCCACCATGGCCATAGTGCATGCCTGAACATGTAACCAGAGGAGGGTGGAGCTTCCTGTCATCCACAACATCTTTTAAGCAGCGGGACTCAGCTTTGTGACCATGTGTGAGGCCCCCTCCCCCCTCCCCTTGTCTTTGGTTATCTCAGTTCATAAGCTTTCCTTTGATTTTTTTTTTTTTTCTTTTTGAGATAGGGTCTCACTATGCAGCACTGGCTGGCCTGGAGTTCACTGTGTAGACCAGGCTAGCCTTAAACTCACAGCAATCTGCCTGTCCTGCTTCCCAGTGCTGGCACTGAGTGCTGGGACTGAAGATGTGCACACCACCATACCCTGCCTTCTTTCCACTTTTTTAAGTAGTTGACATTGATGTTCAGCCATTTATAACCAGAGTTATGTCTAATACATCACCCCCAAAACAAAACAAAACGAACCCAAACCCATTCTTGAACTTGTTTGCTCCTAATCCTGGAAATCTCACACACCTCCCAAAGTTCCTGCTGTCTCCTCTGGGGCAGATCATTCTCACGTCTTTATTTATTTAGGGTCCTAGTCTGTGCCGGGCCCTGTTTCCTATTGCTACTAGATTTTTTTTCAATTTTTAGTCATTTGTGTGTGTGTGTGTGTGTGTGTGTGTGTGTGTGTGTGTGTGTGTGTGTGCAGGTGTGGACATGCCACAGTGCATTAAGTAAGGAGGTCAGAGGACAACTTTCTGATGTCAGTTCTTTGCTCCAGCCATGGGATCCAGGATTTGAAGTCATGTCATCAGGTTTCCATGGCCAGTGCCTTGTCCCGCTGGCCCATCTGTCTAGCTCTACATGGTTTTGTTTGTTTGATTACTGATTGATTGTTTGATTGATTACTGATTGATTGTTTGATTGATTGATTATTTAGACAAGTGTTGCTCTATGGTCTGAACTGGCCTGGAACTCACTGAGTTCCTCACCAGTAAGGATAGCCTCAGTGAGGATAGCTTCAGACTCACAGTGATCCTCCTGCCTTTGGGTCCCTGTGTGAGGTTACCGGTGTGAGGCACCACATTGGCTTCCTGTTAGACACTTCATCCAAGGTGTCTTGTAAGCATAATATATCAGAAACACAAGTCACACCTAACTTCCAACTTGCTGAATATGTTCTGTGCTTTATAATACTAAAAATAATACTAATTGCTAATACTATTACTCTGTGCCAGGCCCTTGTCGTGGTTTGAAAGACAGTGGCCCCCAAAGGGAGTAGCACTATTAGCAAGTGTAGCTTTGTTGGAGTAGGTTTGGCCTTGTTGGAGGAAATGTGTCACTGTGGAGCCAGGCTTTGAGGTCTCATATACGCTCAAGTCACACCCATTGTCTTGGGTCATTCCCTGTTGCCTGTGAGTCAAGTGTAGTGGGTAGCTGTTCTGTCTATGACCTTGAAGCCCAGACCCTATGCAGCAGGTAACTGCTCTACCTGCCTATGACCTAGAAGTACATGCCCCTGGGGCGTGGTCTCTCTGCGACACTTAAGACCTGAGCTGCACATAGGCACCCTCTCTTGGCTCCCTCATGGTTTCGATGTGGGACTGAGACAGGCGGCCAGAACAGCGTTCCAGAACCTGCGACAATTCGGTTCTGTACAGTGACATTTTTCTCCCTTAATAAATTCCTTTGCCCTTTAAGCAGACTCTGTGGATTTCTTGCTATAGTTAAGATGTAAGAACCTTCTGTTTCTTCTTCAGCACCATGTCTGCCTGCATGCTGCCTTGCTTCCCACCATGATGATAATGTACTGAACCTTTGAACTATAAGTGAGCCACCACAATGAAATGTTTTCCTTTATAAGAGTTGCCATGGTCATGGTGTCTCTTCACATCAATAGGAACCCTAACTAAGATACCCTAATTAATTGATCTGATGTGAGGCCCACACACTGCTACATTTCAAGCATGTTAATGTACAGAATGTTGGGAATTTGTGGGTTAGCACCTCACAGAGAGCCAGCAAATAGTTGGTAGATATTTGCTTGATTGACTTGTGTCCCAGTGCAGATACAATGTTCATAATTTTTGTTTTGTTTTGTTTTTGTTTTGTTTTTTGAGACAGGGTTTCTCTGTGTAGCTTTGTGCCTTTTCTGGAACTCACTTGGTAGCCCAGGCTGGCCTCGAACTCACAGAAATCCGCCTGGCTCTGCCTCCCGAGTGCTGGGATTAAAGGCGTGCGCCATCACCGCCCGGCCCAATGTTCATAGTTAATCGTTCCACTTGGTTATCCTAACAAGATGCCTACCCTGGCAGACATTTGCGTGGAGCCGCAGATAATAATGGCAATGATAATGGTGATCGGAAGTGAAGCAGGGCTGGGGAGCTGGCTGAGTTCGTGAACTGCTGGCTGTGCAAGTGTGAAGACATGAGCTCAACTCACATTGCTCCTGGGAAAGCTGGCCACAGTGGTGCACTTGTAACTCCAGCATTGGCAAGGCAGAGACAGCAGTCTGAGAGCTGGCTGGGCAGCCTGACTGAATTAGGGAGCTCCTGGTTCAGTAAGGGATGATGTCTCCAAATTAAGGGGAGAAGATTGAGGAGCAAGTGATGCGTCATGTCAGCCTCTGGTCTTCACATTCGTGTGCACACACACACACACACACACACACACACACACACACACACTCACCACCCCTGCACATTCATATGTACCTGCATACACACACATGAACACGTATAGGTATGCACACAAAACCTGAAGCAAACGTCTATTCCTAGTGCTGCTTCTCTCAAATCCACCAAAGATTTAGCCAGTAAGAAATCAGGTCAACACAGTTCTCTCTCTGCATTCTTTTCTTTTCTTTCCTAAAGGGGACCTATGTCTTTCCAGCCACTCCAAATAGGGCTCTTTGCAAGACAGCAGGCTTCCTGCATCAACGGAGCTGACTCACTGGGAATAGCCCAGTTCCTCCTCATCCCCAAGGCCACCGTTTATAAAAAGCTTAGTTAATTTGTCATTTTGGAGAACTTTTGGATACAACTAAGTTATTTTCTTAATGAGGGTTGGCTCCAGGGAGTGGGTAGGAACATAGATTTTTAGTTTGTATCCTAAAACATTCTTGAGAGAAAGTTTATGTCAATGGTTGTCGTAAGTTGTTTAAAGATATTCACTAATGAGTTCTGGCCTTCTCCCTCAATGAATCATGCTCCTCTGTGAGTGGGGCTACTCCTCACCTTGTGCAGCATCTTGCAACTGCTCTCAGAATACTCACACCAGTAGGAAGAGGTTTGGAGGCTTGGAAAGGACATCTTTATCCAGGGAAGCATCCCCACAGTTACAGCCTAACAGTGTAGAGCAGATCTGACTTGGGACTTATCTTAGAAGCCAAATGAGATTTGAAATGCAAAATCTGAGGTTTTTTCTTCTTTCCTAGCCCAATTTCTACTTAAAGCCAGAAGAAAACAGAACAGACCTGAAATGATGCAGAGCAGAGGGACCTGGACAACTTTGGGAACCAAGAAGAGAACAGGCCATGGACTCTAAGCAATGCCAAAGTCAGGGGCATGTGCCCAAGTTCAAACCCTAATCAAACATTGCCCTGTTGATAAATCTTTTTAGTGAAAATCCTGGAATGTTCTAGATCAAGACAGAGGGTAATTGTGGGGACTATGGCATTGAGTGTCCTCTGTGGCTCTTTGTAAAATAACATTGACACTGATTGGGGAAATTGGTTTTTCACTGCATTGGCCCATTGAGAAAGAAAGGGATTTTTTGGTCCCCATTTTATAGGGCACATAATCATGTTAAATGGGATATAATTAGAAAAGAAAAACTCCAGGTCTTTCTATGGGAAGCAGTTTAATATGGGGAATTGATGAAATAAAATAAGTAATGCGAGAGTCACGAAGCCCAGCAGAGGATGGTGATGAGACAGAAATCAGCAGCTTCAAGAAGCCCCTGTCACCAAGGGATGGAAGAAAGATGGAGAGGCTGCTACACCAA